GCAGAAATAAATGGTATAGAAACTAAAAAAACAATAGATCAATGAAACCAGGAGCTGGTTCTTTGAAAAAAATTAATAAAATTGATAAATCTCCAGCCCCACTTATCAAAAAGAAAAAAGACCCAAATAAATAAAATCACAAATGAGAGAGGAAAAGTAACAACCAACACCACAGAATTTCTACTAATATCAGTATCAGCACTCAAATCCCTGGAAATAGAGAAATTTTTTATTTTCTAAAGAGGAATAAAATGACCCAGTAGACAAAAGTTATGCTTTATAATACAAGAAGAAATCATTCATTTTCCATAATTTGTTTTTATCTTGACATGAAATTTGGGGTTTTATTGTTATTCAGGTATTTATATGATAAAGATCAGGGGCAAAGATGGGTAAAAAGAGATTGAAATGCTTACTTATTGGATACTTTCTCTGACATTTCTTTGAAATGCTAATGATGCTTTGAGTAACTATCAGATTGGAATTCACACATATTTAGTTCTGTACCTTGGCATGAAACATCCACTTATCAAAAGAGAAGTGTGAAATTAAATGAGACAAATTGTGAAAACAGTTTAATCTATATACTTTACCTCAGTTACATATAAAAAAATAGTAAGAAAGTGCAAAAATTCTTTCCAAAGTATATTTTAAAAATATATAAGCAGAAACAAAGGAGTAAATTCCATGTATTTACTGTGTCAAAATAAGTCTTTATTGAATATCTAATACAATCACTATTGAATATCTAATACAATACATTTGTAAAAATGAAATCCTTTAGATTAAAAATTGTTGTAATAGCAGAAACATATATTTAATGTGTTCTGTGCCACTGGCATTGTTCTGCTTTACTTCTATTATTTTATTAAGTCTTCACAACAGTTATAGGTGTATACTATTACTATCTTTGTTTGCAGAAGTGAAAATATAAACATTACCAGAATGTATTTTGAACAATGTATTAATTCTTCTTTGAAAACTGGGGTACAGGCTGAATCATTTATCTATCATGGTATATCAACCACTTCAAAACTTAATGGCTTAAAATAATAGCCATTTATATAGCTCATGATTCTGGTGTTTTTTTCTGGTCTGGGCCAGCTTCAGCTAATCTTGGCTAGGTTTTTTCATTCATGGGTGGTCAGTTGGCATATTGGCCTGGGATTGGTAGGTCATGGATGACCTCACTCAAATGTCAGAAAGTTGGCTGACTATTGTCTAAGGTGACAGAGATGGCTGGGCTATCAACCATGCCTTTTTACTTTAGGTTTGTTTTGTTTTGTTTTTTTCATTCTTTAACATCTTGGGACCTTTGTGACCCTGGAGGAACTGCCCCTCCCAGGGCTAGCTAAATCTTAGAGATAGTAAACATGCCTTTCATATGCCAACCAACCAATCCAGAGCCATACCCCAACCACACTCTGGGCCACTTTTCACCGGGCCTAATCACACCAGGGCCAGGTATCAAACAACTAGGGATAATCCCTATGCTCCAGAAGCTGCTGAAATGATTCAAACTAGCCAATCCTAAACCTGATTATCCTGTTTCACCCATTCCTTCACAGAGAAATCACAATAAAGGCTCTGGCCCACCTTTTCCCTCACTCATTCTGCCTCCTAACTAACTTTGGTGTTTCCCCATGTCCCCCACCCAGGGCATGGCATCCTCCCTCCTCTTGGAATCTATAACAGTTTATCTTTTCGATGGCAATTGTCTCCTGATCTGTTAGCCTCATCATACTTGAAAAACAATAAAGCCTATAATTTCAAACAGCTGGGTAATGTATTTCATCATCTCTCAGGCGAGTCTGGGCTTGTTCACCTGGCAGCAAGCTTGCACGAGCAGCCAGAGAGCAAGCCCCAGTGCACAAGTGCCTTTCAAGTCTCTGCTTCTGTTGTGTTGGCTCTTGCCCCATTGGCCAAAGCAAGGCACACGGTCATGCCCAGAGTCACGTGGGAGGAATGGATCCAGAGTAGGGTGTGGCTACAGGGAGCTGTTGCATAGTGGGGCCATACCTGCCATCAATCCACCAAATTAGCATTTCGGGAGCTTTTATATCGACTTCTTATTCTCTTTGATTTGAGTAATCTTTAGAGTTTGGCCATTGAAATAAGCAAGTAGTAGTTGCCTTTTGACAACTCTTAACAAAAATGTTACCGACTATCATGATGCTAAGAACTATTATTCAAAAGACAACGCTTATATGCCAATACCTAAATTTCCTTTTACTTAGGGAAGTGATTGCTTATCACTAGAGGACTTGGACAATATAAAGCATTTTGAGGTGATTATAGTCATTTTGGTAAAACCACAGAGGGGATGATAACCTAATAATAATATTCACAGAAAACTTTAGATAAAATTATGCCCCTAAAACTCTCATTTATCATGATTATGGTCAAAAACCTCTTGACTGAGATTTACAGAATCTTTTTCCCACAATAGGCTGATTATTGTCCATTTTCTTTTCATAATCAAACACTTTGGCCTTCTTTAGCAACTTTCAAAATAAAATTCTAAACTTCCTTATTTCTGAATTCCTCCTTCCTTTTACATTACTTACCCATTACTGTCATCCATACCAACCTGTTACATTGTAAAGCACTATGGACCCAAGTAGCATAGGAACAAAAAGGAGAAAATACATTGGAACAGAATGTCAGGTTTTATTTCCTTTTGGTATTATCTTGCTTCCATGAAAATGAAAAAAAACTTTTTTAGTTCACTTATCCCAAATTCCAGGAATAATCATAAACAGGAGAAATACGTCCCCTCCCACAAAGAGTCTACTTGCTTGCCTTTGAACCCTAGATTGTTCTTTTATCTAAATAGTAATATATTTTCCAGGCCAGTGGATATGGGAATCTGATAGATCTTAGTTTGAATCTCAGCTTAACCTTTTACTAGCTAGGGAAACTTCAGTAACTTGTTTAAGTGTTCATTTTTACTTACAAAAAATGGATATAATAGGCCATAAACTCTAGCTTTCAAGAGAGTTCGGAGCTGTCTTCACTCACTCTCCACTCACTATTCTACCCCAGGATGGGTCTCTGTCTTGAGGGAAGGACTAAAGGAGTTATTATCAAGGACATACTTTTGCTACATTGGAAAGGGATGCAGTTTTTGTGGGAAGACAGAGAAATTATTATAGTACTGGGTGGGCACAGAGTGCTCCTCCTTTAAATTGTTGTCTTTTGGACCTCTCTTCCTAGCACTCTTCTCTCTTCCATCTCAGGATATCATTGTGACAAGGTTAGAGCAGGGGGACACCTTCTACTTGGAAAACCAAACAGGAACCAGGGTTAGGTATGGGGATATGCAAGGTCAGGAACAAACCTGCCTCAGTCAGCAACTAGGGAGAGAACGTGTAGGGACTTGGGACCAAACTGTAATAAAGAAAGTTGGTTTGTCTGTAGCATCCTCTGGGCAAATACCTATTGAGACTTATTATGGTTGCCAATTTGTTTAAATATGTGAATGCAGTATTCTGGCTATATCTCTATCAGATAATCATAATTATTATTAATCATTCATTTCACAGGACTGTTATGCAGATCAAATGTAAATATAACTCCTAATTCAGTGCCTATTAAATAGCACATACCTGTTAATTTATGAAAACTTTGGTGTTTGGAGTTTATAGTAATAACTAATGTACTTAAAATTCAAGTCAGCAAGTCAACTTTGGATTTGTTATTATCCACCACATTGGCTATTTTTGACTCTTTCACAAGATTGGGTTATGAGCTTATCAGGTAATTTAACTTTTGATTGTGGCAAATATTCAGCTATATGAACTAAAATGACCAATCAAAAAAATATACTGACTTCCATTGCTAAGTTCTTTGGCCAGGGTTTTACAGTATATATTTAAAAGACAAATTAGGTCATAAAAATGCATGGTATATTTTAAGTCCCAGAGAACATTTATGTTTTATCTTAAAACATTTGTGTTTTATCTAGAAAAAATTACAAAGCAGTAAATATTTCTTTTTTCTTTTCTGCATTACACTTTCAAAGATCTGAAAAAATTAAAAATAACTAATGCTATTTCAGAGAAGAAAGAAAAAGATAGGGACGCCTGGATGGGTCAGTCATTAAGCGTCTGCCTTCAGCTCAGTTCATGATCCCAGAGTGCTGGGATGGAGCCCTGCATCGGGCTCCCTGCTCAGTGGAGGGCCTGCTTCTCCCTCTCCCACTCCCCCTGCTTGTGTTCCCTCTCTCGCTGTCTCTCTCTCTCTGTCAAATAAATAAATAAATAATCTTTAAAAAAAAAGAAAGAAAAATATAGCTTTGTGTTAATAGCTCAACATCAGTTTCTTGTAAAAGAGTCTCACTTTTTAGTGATATTATGGATTGCATTGTTTGCCTATGTTAAGCCTGAACAAATCCTTTTTGTCTAAAGTATATAACTTATAGAATTATTCTTAATTTTATATTTTATATTTAAAGTAATATTCTCAGTATTATTAAATTACTTCTTAATTTAAACCTTAAATTACTTCTAATTATACTTCTTTCAAAGATTTTGTTTCTGAATTTATTTTCTGGGAGAAGGGCAAAGGGATGTCATTATGTATGATCTTGATTTACCTGCCTGATGTCCTTCTGCACAATGATTCATTTATTGTGAAGGTTTGGACATGGGTGTTTCACTTTAAGAAAACTCAGTTTTGTTATTCAATATAAAGTATATGCTCTGAGGACAAGGAAGAACAATATAAAATTACTCAATTAGTACTCAATTCATATCTTTGAAATGCACCCTAAGGTATGTCAAGAAGATGTGGTTCATACACACACACACACACACACACACACAAATTCATTTTATACATGGTACTATAGGGTCATGAGTGTTTCATAAAGTGAGGACATCATTGTACCAACAAATAAAATGTCTGGGTATTGCACAAGTTTGAAAAGGCAGTGCTGTTGTATCACCTTTTGGAGTCCTTATAAACAACCATCCTGATGTTCTTCCTCTCTTTTGCAGATGGCCCTTCTCAGCAGGAGGACAGCGATCCTCTAAAAGAATATGATCCTGGGCAATTTGCAGGCCTTCTCCATGGATCCTCTCCAGCCTGTGAGTCCCCTGAAAATCCATTTCATCTCTATGGGAAAAGAGATGAATGTGAAGAAGGACAAGATGAAGTCAGTTTGGCAAATAGTCCTTTGCCTTTCAAGAAGTCTCCAATAGCAAATAACTCAGAAACTTCGGTAAAGAAAATTAAACCCAAAGTGGTCAGTCGAACAATTTTTCACAAAAAAAGCAACCAACTTGAAAACCATACCATTGTTGGCACAAGAACAACTAGGAGTGGATCCCGGAATGGGGACCAGTGGATTATGAACACAGGAGGATTTGTGGAGAGAGCCTGTACCTTGGGGAGAATAAGGTCATTGCCAAAAGCCCTGATTGACATGCATTTATCAAAAAATGTCTCTAAATCAGATTCTGATCTCATTGCATACCCTTCAAATGAGAAAACATCAAGAGTTAACTGGAGTGAATCTTCAACTGCCGAACATAGTTCTAAAGGGAATTCTGAAAGAACACCGTCCTTCACTTCTGAATGGGAAGAAGTAAGACTTGTTCTTCTTGTTCTTTATATAAGACTTTGGAGCAAGGGAAGTTTGGGGGAAGAATTTTCAGTTTTTTGAGTCTTTCAGAGGCAAAAAACAAAAACAAAAAACAAAAAAAATTAACAGACACATACAGTTCCAAGTGGAAGGGCAAGATTCTAGGGGTAATGCATGATAATTTCGCAGCTAGTGTAAAAACAAACACAATTCCACACATGTGGAGAAATCTATTGTTTCCATAGAAATTGATATCAAGCAGAAGTAATAACTAGCTATGAGGTACAAGAGAATGTTCACATTATGTCCTACCAAGCACTGCAGCTGACAAATTGAGAAAAAAATCTTTGTATTCCTGCAGCTCTGTATCATTCTGCTAGTTGCTAAATTCTTTATTAGCTCGTCCCCCCTTTAAAGTATCTTATATTTTCAGAAAAGCTCCTTATAATCTTAACCTTAATGGTAAACAGAATAGTCCTGGCTTGGGTTGCCTAGGTGGCTCAGTTGTTTAAATGTCCAACTCTTGATTTTGGCTCAGGTCATGATCTCAGGGTTGTGAGATTGTGCCCCATGTCATGCTCTGCACTGGGCATGGAGCCTGCTTAAGATTTTCTCTCTCTGCCCCTCACCCACCACTCATGCTCTCTCTCTCTAAAAAAAAAAAGAAGGAAGGAAGGAAGGAAGGAAGGAAGGAAGGAAAGAAAGAAAGAAAGAAAGAAAGAAAGAAAGAAAGAAAGAAAGAAAGAAAGAAAGAAAGAAAGAAAGAAAGAAAAGAAAGAAAGAAAGAAAGAAAGAAAGAAAGAAAGAAAGAAAGAAAAGAAAGAAAGAAAGAAAGAAAGAAGAAAGAAAGGAAGGAAGGAAGGAAGAAGGAAAGAAAGAGAATAGTCCTGGATCTTCTCCAAGTGCCATACAATAAACCCAAATTACTTAATATTTCCCTTTTACAATTATCAGAGAGACATTAAAGAAAAATATGTTGACGTCATGTATCACCAATTTAAGCTCTACTTAAAGACAAAGTCTTTCATTTTATAGAATTAGTTAGAAAGTAAGCGCCATTGCAAGGTTATGAAATATCATCCTTTGTCCCTAAAGAGGACTACGTCATAAAATAACTAAGTTCCTTGCCTTTTCTTGAATTTCTTCAAAAAATGGACCACACTCTCCCTTAGCATTTCATTCTAACATGTCACATTTTCTCCCTCAGAAAACTGTGCCAGGTGGATTGGGTTTTGAAGCACAATAGGTCACTATAGTATTCTGAGAACTAGAAATGTCTGATATTGACATTCTGAATTGAGCTATTTGGGAAAATCACTTAATCTCTCTGCATCTGTTTCAGGGTGAGCAAAATGGGACATTTAAGTAATGCTTATTGTCCTCTCTGAAACCTGCTGTCTTACTCAGGTTGCTAGGATGATGATGAGGGGATTAAACCATAAATGGCTAAAGCTTAGATAGTCATATCTTCCTATAAATACTGTACTACTAGATTGATAGTCTATTCAAATCTCTCCATTTCTTATATTTATTAACTCTGTGAATAACATCCAAAATCTTTTTGGAATGCAGTAGGATTAATTAACATTTAGCCTATCTCTTAGAATTAAGGTGTTTCCCCATGCCTGGATTCTTGCGATTACGTGTCACAAATCAGCTTGTGGCTAGTCAAGCCATTTAGTAAGAACTAGGTTCCAATGGCCACACCCACAGACTGAAACCCACCCCTTCCCCAGTCAGAGAGATGCATGCTCTGAGAACAGGAAGAATGCCTGAGAATGGACATGTTCACATGAATTTATCCTCAGCCCATCCCTTTCTGAGTTTAAAGAATACACAATTCCTAACTTACTGACCCATGTAGGTCCAAACAAAGTTCATTTTAAGAAATATAAAGAGAAGATCTGATTTTGAATATTTAAGAAAGGGAAACATAATTCATATTTTAAAAAGCAATTCAAAAGATGTCTGCTTCCTTTTAAACCTTTCTCAGTCAGTCTCTTAATTGTGGTATTGCAGTAGTAATATCAAGAATATATGATGCTGGCATTTGAAAATTATATTAAAATGCAATGCTAAAAGTGAATTAATAATTTATTTATATGGCTTTTGTTTCTCACAGATTGACAAAATAATGAATTCCATAGATGTTGGAATTAACAGTGAACTTAAAGAAATGAATGGTGAGACCACAAGTAAGGAAACCTTTCTTTTATGTTGTAATTAATAAATGTGCTCAAGAACTAGCTAGAAAATTATAGGAGGCTTTAGATAATTTCATGTTTTTATCATAATAACAGCAGCTATAAATTATTTCCTTCCACTCATATCAAACAACCATGACCTCTAAATATCAATTTTAAGTACATCAATTCAGCACATTGAGAGATTTTTTTTCCCCACGTGCTATGCCAGTTAGCATTAATGGAGTTTCAACTTTTGTAGAGCTAAGTATGAAGCACTTCAGTGTGTTGTGGAATATTATGACCTGATACACTACGATTTCCCATTCAGTGAAATGTCCCTATCATCCTGGCCAGAGTGATTAACAACTTACCCCCAGGTTATAAGCTCCAGTATGGCAAGAACTATGTGTTACTCATCTTCATGTATCTCAGAATGCCTAGCAGAGTGTCTCACAAATAGTTGATTTTGCAATCACTATTTAATATATTACCCTTATGAAGTATTATTTTTTTCTCTATAATTAAAGCTCAGAGTGGAATTCCATTTGCAACTTTCTTTGAAGACTTTTTGCTTCATACTAATGGGTGATGTCAAATACCAGATAGCTAAACCTAAAAATAACAGTCCAGTTCATGCTAGAGAAACTACTATTCTGGAAAGAATCAAAAGATCTGTCTACATTTCTACCCAGCCACTAAGTAGTGGTATAACCATAGATTATTACATAGATCTATACAATTTGGAGTTAAAACAAGTGATTGCTAAGCTCTCTGAAGAACTCATGTTTAAGTTAGTAGTGATAGTTGATGGTTTTGTAGAGATGATAAGATTAAGGTCTGTGAGAGAGAAGTCTAAATATATCATAGGATAAACAGCTATGGGATTTTGTGGCCCTTTGACTAGTCACCGGGGCTTTTTATACAGCACCCCATGTGACTCTTAAGCACGGAAAAGTTAGAAAATGGCTCTCTTATGATGCACTGGGCCTGGGTGGATGAGAAGTGACATGGAAATCTGAGGTTGCAGTCACTGAAGGGGATATTCAGGCCTAAATGAACACCTCACTCATTTCTCCTATACTGGGACAGGTGAGGAATTACTCTAATATGACTGGACCCCATTTTAATTAAATGATAATTGTTTAAAAGGTTACATAATTTTTTTCTGAAATGCATATTTATTTTAGATTTTTAAAACTGAAAAATTATCCAAAAAAGTACCAAAATTGTGTGCATATGTCTAATGACACAAATATGACATTAGCTCTGTGATAACATGTATAGCCAGGTCTCTCATACAGAAATGCTGATAAACACTGAGGATTTTTCTAGTATTCAGAGAACTAGCCTAGGAATGTATGTTGCTACATAGTTCTTCCAGACATGCTTACAGAATAATTTCAAGAAAGTGTAGGAATGCACATTTTTAACTGATACAAAGGTGAGCTTTTATATTTTTTTCATCAATAGAAAATTCCCTGACACTGAGAATGTTCAGGCAGGGACATAGAGCTTCTCTACTGGAAGACTTAGGTGATATTGAACATTAATGCTCTAAAATTCTTCAAACAGATAATACCACAGAATTATAAAAAATATAAATATGACTGTAATGAAAGGGTAATGTTATAATAAGGGTAAATGTTAAAAATGCCAATCAGGAAAAGCTGCCTTTGAAGGGCACTTTAGTAGTAAACAAATCCACAGATTATCTCCCCTAATTCTCCTCTTTCTGCCATTTATACTGCCATCCTACCCCCGCCTTTATTTACTATTTTTCTACAGTGATAATGAAAATGAAAGTAGAGACTCAGCCCGCACAGATTCATTACTATTAATAATGTCTGGTTCTGTATGTCCCTTAATTTTTGCCTCTTAATTGTATATTAATTATACACTAAGTGATTGACCATGCTGTGTGGCATTCCAGTTGGCCTTTAGGTCATTGTGGATTACAACTTTACTGGGCTGCAGGCTTTTCCCTCTTGTGGCTAGATGGACTAGAGAGGTGATAACCCCATGCAAATTCCACAAATATTACTGGGTACCACGGGTGGTTGGGAAATCACATGGTGAAATAAAAAGTCTGACAGACGTGAATTCAAATCTCAGTTCTGCTATTTACTAGGCTCTTGACCTTCGGCAACTCATTCAATTTCTCGACCAACAGAAATGAGTATATTGATATACGATCATTGTAGAGACATGTCCAATGGCATATAGGTGGGGTCAGACTTACGTAGATATGTATTAAATTTCAGCTCCCCACCTTGCCCTACCACAAGGGAGATGTGGTGTTTGACACTGTGGATATACACATGTGGAGATAAACACACATTAGCCCTTTCTTTAAGAACTTCATGATGTCAGGGTATGTGCTCTGGTAAGCGCTGTGAATTGTGCAAGACTGTTGAATCTCAGATCTGTACCTCTGAAACAAATAATGCAATATATGTTAAGGAAAAAAAAGAAGAAGAAGAAGGTAGCAGGAGGGGAAGAATGAAGGGGGGAAATCGGAGGGGTAGACGAACCATGAGAGACGATGGACTCTGAAAAACTAACAGGGTTCTAGAGGGGAGGGGGGTGGGAGGATGGGTTAGCCTGGTGGTGGGTATTGAGGAGGGCACATTCTGCATGGAGCACTGGGTGTTATGCACAAACAATGAATCATGGAACACTTCATCTAAAACTAATGATGTAATGTATGGGGATTAACATAAGAATAAAAAAAAAAAAGAACTTCATGATGTCAGTTAGTCTCATAGTCTTCATGTTACATTTGCTGTGCTCCCTGGAATAGTGGTGTGTCAATTGTGGCCCAACAGTCAGCTGATACCAGAGAAGAGTAATTACTAAAAGAGATCATTAAACTCCAAGATACCCTGGCAAAGAAAAGAGAAAAATCTAGACTGTATTGATTTAAAGGGCCTAAATTATTTTTATGAAATCTGGATGTTCTTTTTTTGCTTGACAATGGGGAAGAGAGGTGCAACGAAATTAACAGGAGGTAAATTTAGAATGGGTGAAAGGAAATACTGCTTTACCTAGTATGTGTTGACAGTGTCTAGAATTTTGCTTTGAAAGGCCACTGAACCAAGCACTAGGCCTGGCTTTAACAGAGCTGCACAGCTTTATGAGTGTTTGTGATGTTTGTTGCTAAAAACCTCAGAAGACGATTTTTGGGAGAATAAAATCAGAAGCAATGGAGATACATGATGGATCAAGGATGAGCATTACATTTTCCATGCTCTTTCCCATTTTGTTTCAGTGTTTTTGTTTGCCCTCCCTACTACCTGCACATTTGCAATTTCAGGTATTTTGTAAACAAAATATTTATTGGACCGGTAAAGGATTTGAAAATCTCTCCTCTTCACTCCTAAAAATAGGAACCAGCTCAAAGTTTGAGCAGTCTCTATGAATCATCAAACTAGTTCTACTCGTAGAAAACCATTTCCTCTTTTTTTTTTTTTAATTTCCTCAACAACTCTATAGTAATTTGAAACTTACCCAGCAACATCAACTATCCAGGACTAAGGTAGAAATAGCAGTAAATTAAATTTACTGAATCTATATTAAGTTCTCACTCAGAATAATATTAATAGACAGTTTTCACAAACATAAACTTCTGGTTTCCCACTTGAAGTCAGATTCAAATGTCAAACAAATTGGCACCAGTAGTAGGGTTCAACTGTACTGAATACCTCATATTGTATAGAACATCCCGTTCTTTGGTGATGCGGGATATGTGATGTGATAGTACATTCTACATAGCTATATACTGCCATGTATAGGATTTTTTCAGAGAACCGATTCTGAAGTTAGATGGACTCAGCTTCAAATCCCAGGATTGCAGTTCACTGGCTCTGTGACCTATTTGATCTCAGTTTCCTCCCCTATAAATTCAGATTTTTAACAACTACCTCCTAAGACCTCTGCAAGATTAAATTATACACTTGTACTACTATAGCCTAGAATATAGCAGGTGATCAATAAATGTAATTCTTTTGCCTTCTTATCAAAATATGCACGACTTATCTTTCTAATTAGAGTGTATGCCACACAGGAAGATACTTAGGAAATCTTTCTTATCATTTTGATCAGTAAAGATTTTAGTTAAAATATAACTACTCATATTCTAAGTTGCTTTTATGAGGAGTCTTTCTTGAAGTCACATTTCTTAACCATTGTCCTTTTATCACAAGGAAGCACTTTCAAATTAGGAAATTTACTATGTTCATTGTAACTACCTCAAAATTGTCACACTTGCTAAGAATCAGGTTGATGATCTTCTTCATGAGATTGAGGAAAACTTAAGGGGAGGCAATAATTGGCTCCATAGGACTTGCTTATCATTACACATATACAGCAAATATTCCAAATAATTAAGTGCCCAGACTTTATAATACAGGGGTGGTAGATAATCTTATGAACACCCTCTTACTTCTAAACTAGCTTCAATAATCTGCTGCCACACTAGACAGACTACAGGTGTATGGACTGTGTTGGAATCATTTCAGGTACATGAATATAAAAAGTAGCATTTAATTAAAAGGTATTTTTTAAGGCTGGGATTTTTTTTCTTATACTTAACATTAAATTATATTCAAAGAGAAATATTCTAGAGTCTTATCTTTTAAAAACCTACTTTCGCCAAGACATCAATTCCATCTAAATTTTAATTGTAAATGAAAGCTATTAAAATGAATTTGTAAAAGATTTTATCATAGAATACACTATATTGGATACATAAAGCATAACTCAAGCTATTTGCTGGAGAGCTCATAGCTCTGAAAACAGTCACTAACATTAATCTGCAACTCCACTTTCTAAGCTTTTGCTCGTCTTCCTCTAAGAGTCTGAGGACCAAGTTACAGTTCAGAGTCCCTCATAGCTGTAGAGATCCTCCATGGAGAGTTTCTAGGAACCTAGGAACTCACTAAGACAGAATAAGTGTTCTCTCTTCTGATCTAAGCTCCACCTTCGCCCAAGTCTGCAAGAACAGAGAGTGC